TCGTGACTTCCAATGCGGAAAGGTAGCTTTCCCACGCGAGCGCACCTGATTTCTTTTTGAGCTTTGATGGTGAAACCCAATCCAAATTTGTCTGCTTTAAACGGAATGTCAGGAAGTTTGCCCCAGATAGTACAATTTCCATCTTCGATCATGGCACGAGCATTAAGTGAAACCATCCTTGGTACAACTTTATCAGCTTTTGATATATTGGAGGAGATTTTGGTGGCGGCAACCATAGGAGGAATAATTTCAAAAGCCTGACATAGAGTTTCCATGAATTCACCATTCATTTCCACATATTTGAAGGAATTGAGATGGCTCACCATAAATTCTTCTTCGCTGTAAACAGTAACGATCTTCCCTTTGGCTGGATATTTTAATTTTTAATGAAGGGTGGATGTTACTGCCCCTGCCCCATGGATCCAAGGGCGACCAAGCAAATAAGATTAGGCGAGACGTATGCCCATTATATAAAAGGTAGAGTTAAAAATATGTGAGCCAACTTTAATGTGGAGATCTACCTCTCCATGAACCATTCTCTTAGACCCATCAAAAACCCTTACGAGAATATCGCTTGGCTTCAAAACCAGTCCTTCAAAATCTAGCTGGTTCAAAGCACCTTTGGGTAACACATTTAAAGATGAGCCAATATCCATTAAGACATGGGCCAAAGTGGTCCCCTTGCATTCAACAGAGATGTGCAAGGCTTTGTTTTGGTTCCTTCCCATAGAGGTCAAATCAGCGTCGGAGAACCTTAATCCATTGTCAGTCGTTAAACTTTTTACACAGTTCTCGAACTGGTCAACTGTGGTTTCTTGGGGCACATGAGCTTTCTTCAAGAACTTGATTAAAGCCTGGGCATGAACGTCTGAACAAAGTAATAATGACAGCATGGAAATTTTGGAGGGGGTTTGCCCCAGCTACTCAACTATTTTGAAGCCACTCTTCTTTATGATTTTCAGGATTTCCTCCATCTCTCGAATGGAGGGCAATTGAATTTGATCCACCTGCTACTCCAAATGTGATAACCGCACCAATGCTGAATCATGGCAAAGGTGTTAACACAATTCATGATACTACTTTCGTCTCTTCCATTAAAGATTTAACAACTCCATTAACTACTGTGAAGGATAATTTGCTGAGAGCCGGAGTGTTCCCTGACTGTTCTAAAGATTGTGTTTGTTGTGGTAAACAAGTAAATGGGTGCAAGCGATTGAAAGAAGGTGTGCAATGCTTGATAGATAGCCGCGATATTCTGTTTGAGAAGATTCCTACCATCAAGAGTTTGACTAACAAAGTTGAAGACCAGTCCATAATAACAATTTCCAACAAGCCTTTTAGGATCCCCTCAAAGGGTCCTATTAGAATTTCAAATGAACCAACCATTGCTCCTTTAATAATCACTGCCGCTGAGCCTATCCCCTACTCCTCTGACAAAGCCGTTCCATGGAACTATGGTGCCGAGGTTTATTATCATGGGATAAAACAAGATTCTTGGATCAACAAAGATGAAGCTGATGTCACCAATATTGCAGGTTTTAGTAAAGTAACAAGAACATGGAGAATCTTTTCCCCTGATATTTCACCGCCCGCCACAATAACTCTCGTTCGCATAACCAATGACAAGTCTAGTGTCAACACAAGAGGTAAAGAGAAAGAAGGTGAGCCTGCTGGGATAGAGGCACCTACCAAAGTTATTGACACTGAAGAAATCTATGACAACTCTCCATCATCTCTCCAAATGTCATCTTTAAGCCCATTCCATACACAATCAATCGTCATCGAGTGCAAATTCCTGGGCACTTTAGTGTTCAATCATCTTTCACCTTTAAGTCACGAAAGGCGGATCCGCCAATCTCACTCTTCGGGTTCAAGAAGATTGAACAAGGGCATTTGTTGTACCCTAAAATTTTCCCTCTCAATTTCTCAAAGATTCTCTCACAAAATCTCCATTGATTCAAGACTACACCAAGATTGATCAGCTCAAGATACCTCCCCAAACATTGATGACTCAAAATTAGGGTTTGAGTTTGTATAAGGACAATAGGACCTTTAATGCTTCATATGATTTTCATAAATCATTTTGGACTCCCAAGATTGCTCATATCAAGTTTCAGGCTTTGGATCACATTTTGGCCCAGTCAATTGATCAGTTGACCTAAAATCAACTGTATTGGGAAAAAGTCAGTTGTGGTCAATTTACAGTCAAAACTCATAATTTTTTATCCATATCAACATATTAAACTCATATGAACCATTTGGTTAAGTTTGGATCATAATTCCTCAAGAAATTTGATCAAATCACAAAAAGGGAAAAATGGTCAAAATTAGGGTTTTGACTGAGAATGTTTGATTTTGGACTTTCAACCCAAATATATCAAAGGAAGAGAGAAATGAACAAAAGACTTTTGAGTATGTAGAACGCTCTTGGTTGCTTGCTCACAATCCATCTTCAAAAACAAACATCTTTTCAAACACACTAAACACTTTAAAAAAATGAAATATTTTCAAAAAGTCCCACACTTTGTATGCATTCTTATAGAGACGAGAATCATTATAAAGTTTGCCTAAACGAAGATGCTTTTAAAAAATACTTTCAAAACCCACCACAAACACATTTCAAACAAAACAATTCCAAAAGTGATCTAGCAAGCAACTAAGAGCCCGTAGATAACTACGAGTGAAAATGGTGCTAACACCTTCCCTTTTCATAACCTATCTCCCGAACTCAAGAAAATATCTCAAAGGTCTTTCTTGTTCTTTTCACCCTTTCCTTATTAGATAAAAGAAAAGTCGATGGCGACTCTTGCTATCCGCAACAATTGCGATCAAACGCAAAACAACCAAGTCAGTTCTCCCACCGTATTACAAAAAAACAATTATATGTAGGATCCAGATGAGATGACGCATCCTCCTAAAAATAGAGTGCATGTGTCATTTCACATGACTTGAAAATACTGCGCACACCATGTGAGATGACGCTTACATATTAATTTAGGTGGATGCACATCTCATCTGACTCCTTTTTGTTAGTCTTTTCTAAAATATAATTATTTGCGTAATTTTTTCCAAAACATAATTATTTATATTTTTTTCAATACTTTGTTAATTAAAAAAAAAATTCTTTTATTCTGTTCAATTTCTAAACATTGTAATGTGGATTTGTTCTATTCATCTTATAATATTTAGATAATAAAATGAAAACTTTGTTTCATTCTATTCATTTATATTTCATTTTCATTCATCTTTTTAAGGTATCCAAACCTATTAAGACAATTTAAAATATTGAAGCAAAACAAAATAAAGTGAAATAGAGCGAATATTCATTATTTAAATATTCTATAATATAAAAATTAATTATAGTTTTAGTCCTTCATTTTATCCGATTAATAAAATTGACTTTTATTTTAATTTTAAATAATTCTGATAAACTTTTCATATTTTTACATTTAGAATTAACAATATTTTAATTTTTTAAATAACAATTTTTTTTATAAAACATAACAAATTATCATATATAAATATATTATAAAATTTAATAAATAAAAATATAAGTTAAAAATGCATCAATTTTTAATTAAAAAATGTGAAAAATGGAGTAAATTTATGAATTTAAAATATGAATGCTAATTTTGTAAATCAGATAAAATTAAATGATTAAAATTGTAATTTAATCTATAAAAATTCATTTTTTTTTTAAGAAAATGGACATGGTAAAGTAAAAAAAATATATATTTTATTTCTTTTTTATTCTTACTTAAAAATTTGTTATATAGAATTATAACATGATTTAGTCATATATTTTTTATTATGTAGTAAAATTTTATTTAAATAATTTATATCTTAGAAAATAAATGTGCATTATTATTCAAATATTATAAAAAGAAAGAACATTTGAAACTAGAAAAAAAAATTTAATTTTAATTTTAGTTCTTCTATTATCTGTTTTTTAATTTTGATTTTTCTATTTTTAAAATTGATTTTTGTAGTCTCTTTATTTATTTTTGAGGATTTTAATCACCTTCATATAATCTTGCCAATAAAATGACCCACAACTATATCCAACCGATAAAATTGAACTTATTAATCCTCTAGTCACAATGAGAGTTATTGGTTGTCCAAAGAAGAATCATAACAAAGCAAATAATAAGCTTAAAAACAAAAATATTTTGTTCAGATTACTTCAAACAGTAAAATATCAAAAATACAAAAATATAATATACAACAAACGAACATACAAAGATAAAAAAAAAAATCAAAAAAATACTACTTAAAGAGCAATAATTAAAACGCTATTATTAAATACTCTTAAATTTGAAGGGGACTAAAATCTTAAAAAAATAAAATAGAAAATTTATACAAAATAATTTTTAAAATAAAAGGACCAAAATCAGAAAAAAGAGATAATAAGAAAACCAAAATTATAATTAAGAAGAAAAAAAAGTGCACTAGTATTTAACAATTAAAAGAAGAAAAAATAGTCAAAAATAAGATCAAAGCAAATACACTACGCACTGCTCTCTCGATTTCTAGGTACTCTCTTTCTCTCGATCTGCAACTAGATCTTCAATTTCCCCTTTTTCTTCGCTTCAACGTTTCTCTATTTTCAATTTCAAGAGTAGCTTAATTTTTAATTTAGGGTTTCGAATATCAAATCGCCGAATTTGCTGTATTTAGGGTATAGGGTTTTATGCTATTGTTCATGATTTGGGTCTTGTTATTGAACCTTGAACCGTTGCTTTAGTTTTACTGAATCTATATTTTTTTATTTTCATCTTGCAATCTGAATTGAGATAAATTATACAAAATTGAGAACAAAAATTAACAAATTATTGTTCTGAATCTTTTTAGGGCTTGATTTTAGCCTGAATTGAGATGAATTTTACAACATTGGGAAGGAAAGTTGACTAATTGTTTGGTTTGGTTTGGTGATTTTTGGTTTAATTTGCAAAGACTGAATTTTACATTGATGTGTGTGTTGGTTTGATTGCAGAAAAATAATGCCGGGTCAGAAGGTTGAAACGGGTCATCAAGATACGGTTCATGATGTTGCGATGGATCACTATGGTAAACGGTTGGCTACGGCTTCTTCAGATCATACGATTAAGATAATTGGAGTGAGTAACTCGGCCTCACAGCATTTAGCGACTCTTACTGGTCATCAAGGACCTGTTTGGCAGGTGACGTGGGCTCACCCGAAATTTGGTTCTCTACTTGCGTCGTGCTCGTTTGATGGGCGTGTGATTGTGTGGAAGGAAGGTAATCAAAACGAATGGATTCAAGCTCATGTGTTTGATGAGCATAAGTCGTCTGTGAACTCGGTTGCTTGGGCGCCGCATGAGTTGGGTCTTTGTTTGGCTTGTGGTTCGTCGGATGGGAATATATCAGTTTTCACTGCACGAGCGGATGGTGGTTGGGACAGTTCGAGGATTGACCAAGCTCATCCCGTTGGTGTCACTTCTGTGTCGTGGGCTCCTTCCATGGCACCTGGTGCTCTTGTTGGTTCTGGCTTGCTTGACCCTGTTCAGAAGCTTTGCTCCGGTGGTTGTGATAGTACTGTGAAGGTGTGGAAGCTTAACAACGGGCATTGGAAGATGGACTGCTTCCCTGCTCTTCATAAGCATACTGATTGGGTTAGAGATGTTGCTTGGGCACCAAATTTGGGGCTTCCGAAGTCTACTATTGCAAGTGCTTCTCAGGATGGGAAGGTGATTATATGGACTGTGGCCAAGGAGGGGGATCAATGGGATGGCAAGATTTTGAACGATTTCAATACCCCTGTTTGGAGAGTTTCGTGGTCATTGACTGGAAATATATTGGCAGTGGCTGATGGGGGCAATAACGTTACATTATGGAAGGAAGCAGTAGATGGAGAGTGGCAACAGGTGACAACTGTGGAACCTTAGGATCTGATCTTTGATGTCTACTCTTTGTTTATTGAGTTGAGATATGGTTAGAAATTTGTTTTAAAATTATAATTGTGACACCTTGTTTCTATGCATATTATATAGTTGAGGAGTTATGTTTTGTGATACCTTTAGTTCCTTGAACATTGTGAACCATCAAACATACATTATGTGCGTTCAAGAATGAAGTTAAACAGCTTGATTTGTTTTTTTTCCTTGATAGATAACAAAGACGTTTTTCAGGTATACAATGTAAGGTTTCATTACAGTTTTGGTATTTAAATTTGTGGCTATTGCTTATAATTTTGGGACTCCTGGTCCATAGTGCATATTTGGTAAAGTAAGGGTTCATATCTTTGTAGAGTAAGTGTTAATGATTGATAATCTTTAATTGATAGTAATTGTTTTCTGTTAGCTGAAGTTTGTTGCTACTGTTTTGCTTCATTCCTTGTATGTAAGACATAATTTCTGGAAGATGAGTATTATTAATTCATATTAGAAAACAAATACACAAGTAAGACATAATAATTTCTGGAAATATCCATCATACAACTAGATTAAAGAACATTTACCATTAATTCCCAAGAACTTTTACTAGATTAAATAACTTCCTCGGCATTTTATTTATTTGATACTAGTCTTGGTTTGTTTTTGTATCTTTTTTTAGTATACTTTTTAGTTCTCAATGTTAGTTTGTGGTTATACTATTTATCTTTGGTGTGAAGGTGTAAAATTGGGAAGAATCTCCAGAATCTGTGTAGTATCACTATTTTCTTTTGGACAAGCTGTTTTATGAGCTGATGTTTAGTTCTAAATCAAAATATTTTGGTCACTACACATGTTGGAATTTCAATGAGGGATGGATTTGTTGTTTAAATAATATAAAAAGATTGATCAATATCATGATTGAGAAACACACACAAGTATTACATTGCATAGAAGGAACACGAACATTATGAGAAACACATGTTACATGACCTTATATTTGCAATTTCTCAATTCACCTTTGGTGAAAATTAGCCCAAAGTTTCGAATTCAATAGAAAAAATTAACACTTGATATACACTCAAATGTGAAAAAGTTGATCAAATGTTAGAAGAAACTTGCACAAGGTCTACCATTAGTTCATGGAGGTTTAATTTTTTTAACAAGTACACAAACTCAATTCATGTATCTTTACATAAATTTGGTTTGTTTTACGCAAATTTAATTCAAGTACATTTTGGCAAACTCCGTTTATAAATATTCATAAAAACTCACTTAAAAAATATCTACATAAATTCAATCTAATCATGTAAGTAGATGAATTTTCAGTGTCTAAATCTTACAAAAACGCAATTCAAGCATGTTTATGAAAACTCAAAGCAAATTCAATTCAAGTATCTTTATATAAGATTTAAAAATTTGATATATAGTTAAGAATTGGCTAATATGGGCTTTCTTAAAACCTAACAGGGGGTGTAAATTGAAAATAAGTGGTGAAACTAGAAAGGTTTTTTATTTATTTTTAATTTTCACACATTATTGAAAAGTTTAAAAAGGCCAGAGTAAGCAACACCAAACGTGTAAATGAAATTGAAAACTGAACGTGTAAATGAAATTGAAAACTGAACGTGTAAATGTCTTTCTTGCCCCTATCAACACATCTCTCACAACAAAGACACAGCATTCGGTTCGGTTCAGCTTATTTGCCTATATTTCCCCAAACCGACCCGGACCGGAAACCGGTCCAATCTAGCTTTTCTGAATCGGTTTGTTTCATTGTTCGTTTTTGCTCAATGAAACTGATACGTTTGGTGTATCAGTGAGATCTCTCTCCGATTCAATGGCTTCCACTTTCCGTGACCGTACGTCGGAGTTCCGATCACTGACGGAGACTCTAAAGAAGACTGGCGGTGGAGAAGGAGTCACCGCACCTCCGAATCACCAACCGTCTACGTCTCAAGGTTCCTATTCAAGATCTGAATTCAACCGAAAGGCATCACAAATAGGATTAGGAATCCACGAAACCTCACAGAAAATCGCCAGACTCGCTAATTGTAAGCTATTTCATCATCATCATCATCATCGTCGTCATTTTTTATATATATTGAATTGAATTGAATTTCTTGTAATGATTTGTTATCGATTGGTTGTCGTAGTGGCGAAGAAATCGTCTCTGTTTAATGATCCAATTGTGGAGATTCAAGAACTGACTGCATTGATTAAGACTGATATAACAACGTTGAATTCGGCTGTTTTAAATTTGCAAAATATTCAGAAATTTGATTTGGCTGATGAGAATTACTCGGAAGATAGGGTTGTGCATTCTAATGCTGTTTGTAATGACTTGAAGAACAAGCTTATGGGAGCCACAAAGCATCTTCAAGATGTTTTAACTACTAGGACAGAGGTAAATAATATGTGATCATAAACTTTACATTTTAAAAAAGGTCTGTATGGTATCAGAAGGTGCCGATACTGATACAACTATTCACCATTTTCATGATAAAGAACAAATTGTTGTTAATTCACACCGTAACGACCGAGATCAATGTCACAACACCTTTACTGACCGAAATCTCAAAAGCCTTTATGCAATCGCAATGCGACCGTTATTTTAAAACCTTGCTACTAGCACCAAAGTAACTTATAATATCTGTATCAAACATTTTTATGATATAACAATTGATGCTCCTTTTGATAAAATTGAACCATAAGTTGGCATATAGCATAGCAGAATAGCTAGCTGATAGCTGAAAAATATCTTACAACTGATAGCTTATGTTTGAAAAGCTAGTTGATTGGGTTAAAATGTTTGGTAAGTTTAGTTGTTGTGAATATAAAACGCATAAAAGTACAGTTACTTTTAATTTAAATGTATAAAAACATTTTTTTAAAAGAAACCATTATCTTATTTTTCATCCATCCCCTCCCTTCTTTTTTGGTTAAATTATTGATCATACCCTAAAGTTTCCATGCAATTCATCACCACTTTTTTTATGGAAGCAGCAAGCCTCTTATGTTTTTGATACAAACCTTGCTACCCGTTTATGGTCTTTAGAGAAAGCATGATATACAGACACGGATGTTATAATTGGAGAAGTTAGTTTGCAAGAGATGGTGAAGAGTGAATATGCAGCCAACAAGAATTCATGGTGAGCAATGTGAGGGGACAATTACAATTTTTTTTTGTGGAAAGGAAACTACCTGGAGACATAAATTTGTTTTACGGAAGGATTAGGAAGTAATAACATTAAGATAATAAGGCTGAGGATGGGAGAAGATTAAAAAAGCTATAAGCTCAAATGCTAATTAAATCTATATTAGTATGTTTATCGATCAATCAAATTTTTATGCATATCACATGCCATATAATTTTTCTCTTGCCATGTAATTTATATTGTGAATGTGTGTCATGTACCCTAGAACATCAAGGCTCATGAGAGTAGGAAGCAGATATTTTCCAAGAACCCTTTACAGCATCAGCCAAAGCCAACTACTGAGCCGCCACCTTGGTCAAATTCAACAAATGCATTTGAAACAGAGAGTTTGCTACAAACACCAGGGTAAGTAATTTTATTATCATGTTATTGTAAAGGTTGGATTTGTTTATTATACCCTGGTCTCGTGAGTTTTCCTTCCCAACTCTGCCGCCATTATGCAAAAATAGGGAAGGTGGCACATTGCGCAAGCACTTGAAAGTTGTTCTGGTGGTTGTCACTTTCTAGTTCTGTATGGAGCATCTGAATTTGAAAATTTGTAAACTACTATATTCCTCAATACTCTTGTTGTCATATCGTGGATGGATCAATAAATGGTACAATCTGACTATATATATGTTAATGTGCATAGGTCTTAATTTCTAACTCTCAAGTATCAATACTTCATTTCTTTCGTAATATAAACACTGACATAGCAGAGCTTTCATTCTTGTACAAGAAAGCATAAAGCTAATATAACTTAACTCAAGCTCATGAGAGCTTGTATAGAGTCTCCCTCATAATATAAAACACCTGTAGTGTAATCAACTATAACTGTTTTAGCTTCCCTTGTAACTAGCTGCCTGACAGCCGTCAGTCAGTTAACCACCCTTCACTCATTTCAATCAATTTTCATTTGAGAAATTCAACTAATAGCTCTAGCAATTCTACTGAATATTCATCTATGAGAAATCACAAAACTGTGATCTGAAAAAATTCAATAACATTCTACTTTAATACTTAACTAGACAAGAAATAGTCTTGGTGATTGTCATCTAAGAGAAGCAGAACATATATATTTTATATGTTGATAGGTGATTCTAGTTTGTCTTGCCGAAAAATCTAAAGTTACACTTGACAAATGAAATGACTCCCAAATAATGCAAAGCTAATCCCACACTCAGTATAGAGTAACTATGTTTACTCTCCTGAAAATTTGGTATTAATATGCAACTGAAGAATTTAAACCCAAACTTTAAAAACTGTACTTTCAGGTATTTACTTGTACGTTGCTTCAAGAAATATCAGCGAATCATTGCTAGACTTTGTTAAAATCTCTTAGTCTTAACTACCTAGTTTCCATTTCCTCAATTCTTTTCTTTTCTATTGCTAACAAATATTTTACGTCGTTCTACGTGTGTCTGTTATGTCGAATAAGTAGGAACCCCCAAATAACTATGCCGTAGCTAATTACAGATTCTATTTGACAGATAATTTTAATACTTATAAATAATAATGTAGTTTGGCTTTGTAATATTGTTACTTATCAGTTCATAACTGCCTCTTTAAAAATTTAGTCTTGAAGAGCGAAGAACCTTTCCTTGAATGTGTTTATAAATAATAATGGATCTACATGTCTTATTTGTTGAAAATGATAAGCCTTTGATGTTTAATTCCTGAAAAATGATTGTCTTGTGCAGACCACCATCAAATGGAATTTCTCCAGCTGGCAATCAGCTAAGGTTTGTTCACGTTTTCTTTTAAAGCTATAAGATCAAATTGTCCCCTGTACACTTCTATTTTCTATATAACATGATTATATTTTGGTCTCTAAGAATTCCAGATTTTACTTTTAAGCTAGCATTTTATGTAAAATGTAAAAACTAGTGGTTTTCATTTGGTTCTCATGGATTATAAATCTCTTATTGTGTATGAACTTAAACAGACCTAGTCTAAGAAGAACAGAAATTAGTACTGAGCTTTCTGAATGTAACAGAGGAGTGGAGTTTTCACAAGCAGGGAATCATCTTAGAGACCTATTCATGAAATGGAAGGATAACAAACGTAATGAAGAAGTAAAAAAACCAGAAGATGCTCTGAAAAGTCAGAGTTGCACTTTATTCACATAGAAAACCCTCTACCCTAATCGGGCATGCCAAAAAAGCCTCCCCCTTTTTCCCTTGTTTAAATTCCCACCACTAACCTCATTTACATCAAGTAATGTGTGGTTCCCAAAAGTGATCCAGCCAAGCCAACCCTCCTCCCAATGACTGTCAAACTTTCGAGTTAACTTATAAGTCATAATCAACTAGTTTTCGACTATTGGTACCAAAACTGAGTTAACTCGCTTACAAAATCATTTTTGTATTAATTTGGCTAGACTTCATAGACTTGGGTTGGGAGTTTGGAAATGATTGGATGTGTCTATAACAAATGGTTATTTTCTCCGAACATGCCTAAAATGATAGTAGTTAGTGTTTTTAAAAGAAAATGCAACTGCTAAAGGATACGACAACATAGTACAAAAACATTAGCCTTGGAGTTATAGCACTTGACTCCACAAACTGCTCTAAATATCCTAACACATAGCCATAAAAGATTAATGATGTTGTATTAACCCTATAGCTCCAAGCACAAACGAAGTCGCAAACTTGAAAACATGATAAACCCATCGTTGCAAGTTTACATTTAAGCCAAAAGACCACTAAGGTGAATGAACCTAGCTCTGTAGAGTTGAAACCTAGCTCGGAATTCTGCTCAACTGAGGGGAACTCAGTCCAAACCATCCTTTGGTCTTTACTCTTTAGTATTATTTTTGAACCCTGTGATTTGTCAATTTACCCATCAGATATGGTATGGTCTTGTCTGGTGTCAGTTATTTTCCCTTTCAATTTGACATGATTTGTCTATTCATGAAATTTAATTACAAACTAGATAGTTCATATTATTTCACTTAATGCCTCTTGAATCATCATATCAATGATTTCATTAGTAAGTTTATTAAAGAAGTAATTTTAGGTCTACAGAATCTCCTAAATATTATGAATGTCTTTTGTTTTGCCCCTTAATGCAAGTTGTTAATATCTTTTTTTGACATCAGATATGTTAGTTATGAAGAAATTTCTTTGCGAATGCCCGTCGTTTTTCTACAAATCAAGCTTCAAACATCTTGATAGTAACATCCTTTCTGATTAAATATATTATTTGCATTAAATGAGTGGGATATTACTAGAATTCACACAGGGTAGTTGTTTAATGTGGTTCTTCAATTTAGAACTTGTCATATCTCAATTATTTGGCTAATGACTTACCAAGCTTATGAATGCTCTGATAAATATTTATGCTTAGGTTCTTGATATCTGTTGCATTTTGGGTCTGAGTTGCTTAAATTTTTTAGGTATGCTTAGGATGTGTTTATTTTCTATCTTAAACTGCCATATGTGGTAAATTTGCTGTCATTGGATACAGACGAAGGTTAGCTGTGGACAACACTCCATCTCAGCAAATGGAGATGTCTTTGGTACAACAGGTTGTTCCTCGGCAGGAAGACTATGCCCAAAGTCGATCAACTGCTCTGCACAATGTAGAATCTACTATTACTGAACTTAGTGGAATCTTCTCCCATTTGGCTACGATGGTTGCCCATCAAGGAGAGCTAGCTATCAGGTTTCAACCTTTTCGTAAATTTTTGACAATTAAAGATTCAAATTGTTGCAATGCACTACTTTATCTCCTTCTCTTAATTAAGGCCTTGGTGTATGTGTATGTTACAAAAAAATTGTATCAGAAAATATAATATTCACATGTTCTAGCAATTATGATTAAACATGTAAATTGTAATTGACTCGGGCAGGATTGATGACAACATGGATGAGTCAATGGCAAATGTTGAAGGAGCCCGCAGTTCTTTATTGAGGCATCTCAACCAAATATCATCAAATAGATGGCTTATGATCAAAATATTTGCCATTTTGATATTCTTTCTGATGATCTTCATATTCTTTGTAGCCTAATGTACCAATCATGGATGTTTTTTTTACGGCTTATTTGGATTCATCTTCGTCCTTCTTCGGAAGCAAAGATGCCAAAGCAACTAAGTGATGAGCCATGCATATGAGATGTGCCCTATTTGCATGTAGATTGGTTTCTAAGATCTGAAAACTTTTTTATTCACGTATTCTCTTGTTTGGCAATCAATATGTTGCGGCATGTACCTTTTAGGAGTTTGATTGAATGCAGATTTAGCAAGTTAGAAACATCAATTTGCGTTTATAAGAATCATCACAATACAGTTATGGAGGTGAGGGAGCATCTTAGATGTAAAGAACCAAAGTGAAGGGAGAATGCAATGAACAGTTTTATAAATATTGTGGTGCATGTGTTTCCACATTCTTTGCAAGCTACCCAATTGATGATAACATACTAGTAGTTCTTTGTTTAGCTGTGTGTATAATGTAATAAGTTTGCTGATACTGTAACATCAAAAGTTGTTTTTTTTTTCTTTCTCTAAAAGTATTGATGTATAACTATTTTTTAATTGAACATTCTTTTCGTTTTTTATTGCTATTTTGAAGATATTCAAGTCTCATAATCTATCTATTGCATTGGTGGTTGTATAAGGGAAGGGAGTTGAGTAACTCACCTTATGGCTGCTTTCATTCTAGATTATTGTTCAATCTGTCCTCTTAAAATGCTGCATTATATTAGAAACATGTTTTCAGTAACGTATTTCTTGAAGATTGGAATGTATAGAGTGCAAGAAATCATTTTAAGTTTGAGGAGTTTTTGATAATTGGAACCTCGTTGACGCTTTATCAATGTAAGTATAAGTTGGAAGTTCCATTTTTCATTGAATAAAATGTTATACAGTACATTATTATATGTTCGTGCGTATAGGTCATATTTTTATTTACTATGTCATGCACAGAAATGTTCTGTTTGAATAATTATTGATGATAAAAATTTCATAAAATTAATTTATAAATTTAATAGATATATTGCTTAACTCCAACCTGTTTGAGGCAATGTTTTAAAATCCGGATCGGTGATTGATTCGGTCAATGTAACTGAGTCACTGGATTAGTGATCAAATATAATTGAGTCATTGGATTAGTGATCGAATCAGCTACTAGTTAACTCGCATGATTGTTGACTTAGTCTCTTAAAAAAATTAAAATAATAAAACATGCATATAAACTTTAAATATATTAAACTAAATAATAACTATTTCAAAATACAATTGATCTATTATAATTTCATTAGAAGTTCTAAATTTAAATCTACCCTAAATATGCATACTAATTCATGTCAACAAAATTTAATATTCTACTTTATAATTATAACAAACATATAAAAATAAATGTAATACAAATATAATAATTTAATATATTTTTAATTTAATACTTATATTTATAAATATAACATATATGTTATAGTATAATTTATTTAAAAATAATATATATATATATATATATATATATATATATATATATATATATATATATATATATATATATATATATATATATATATATATATATATATATATATATAAAACAGAGGTGTTAATAAGTGGTTGTAGCAAAGAAAGATAACCCGCAAGTCATAGGTTCAGTCCTTCTCCGTGTGGTAGCTAACAAGCTACTGGCCCGGTTTACGGTTTTTGGGCGGTTCAGTGGTTTGATAAAAAACTAGCCAGTTATATTGGTTTACACCGGTTTTTTTACAAATTCGATCTTTTGTTTTGATCAAATCGGCCATATCATTGATTTCCAGATGGACTTGTTCGACCAACCGATTCAGTCCGAGTTTTAAAACACTGATTTGAAGGTAAACAATATTTAAAATGGTGTGTACTTTGTATTTTATCTGTAAATGACAAATATAATTATATAATAATAATAATAATAATAATAATAATAATAATAATAATAATAATAATAATAATAATAATAATAATATTCTTGCTTGCTGGGTCGTCCTTGGATTCATAAGGCTGGGGCAGTGACTTCCACACTCCATCAAATGCTGAAATATCCGGTGAAAGGGAAGATTGTCACGGTACGAGGTGAAGAGGAGTATATGGTGAGCCTTCTCAATTCCTTCCGCTATGTGGAGATGGACGGGGAATTCATAGAAACGCCTTGTCAAAATTTCGAAGAGGTCCCTCAGTTCTCGGTATCAACTGAAATTGCTACCAACAAACCTCCGCTAAAGATGGCTTCTCTCAAAGACGCCAGAGATGTAATTGAAGAAGATGGGTGTACCAATTGGGGTTAGCTTTCTGATTTCACTCACAAAACTGACAAATTTGGTTTGGGCTTTACTACAGGGGCTCAAAGGGCTGTTAGGCGCGCACAGATCGGAAGAACTCCTCTACACATCAGTAATCAGGGAGTTAATGCAATCGAGGATAGTGAAGAAGATTCAAACATCGACAGCTGGATCTACCCAACAACCAATGGTGGACTGAACAACTGGACGGCGAAGGACTTCATGCCTATTTTTTATTCCGCAGTAATTGACTTTTTGTTTTAAGATTTGTAATAAACAGTTTGAAACTTTACGGCCCGGTGCCTTACCCGAGGCACCTTGGCTTTGCTTGTGAGGGCTTATTATTTGTCATTTCATATATCATTAATAAAACATTGGACGTTTCTTGCATTACAAATTTTGCGCTCCTTGTTTTTCTTTTCTGTCTCTCACTTTATCAAAACAACTATTCTCTTACACACACTCACGTATCATAATGCATATTCATATCCACTCTGGATCCCATTGATAATAGCTCTGCTACTTCTAGTTATGAGTTCAAAAATCCGATCAACCAAGCCGAGAACGAAGGTGGGGATGATTGTGAGGTGCTTGGAGAACTTGCTAGACTGTTACAGCAGGAAGAAAGGGCCATACAGCCTCATGAAGAGCCAATTGAGTCAGTGAATTTGGGTACAGAGGCAGATAGGAAAGAGGTTAAAATAGGTGTGAATCTGGAGCCTAGTGTCAAACAACGGTTAATATAGATGCTACACAACTATGTTGAGATCTTCGTCTGGTCCTATGGGGACATGCCTGTTAGAACATAGTTTGATTCTACAACCCTCAGTTAGAGTTTTGATGATAACAAAATACAAGAATAAATAAATTATAAGATTTATATATATGACATATATGCTACTTAAAATCATGCTGTGTATTTACAGAAGTTCTGATGGAATCAGCATCAGAAGATCAATATCAACATCAGCATCAGAAGATATGTCAGCATCAGAAGATCAAACATGTGCTACACGCTGAAGTTACCAGATCATACGCTGAAGCCTGATGACCAGAATCTGCGCATAAAATACTCTGACTCTGATCAAGATCTTTAGCAAGTCACCAACACTCAGAAGCGTCAACATAAGCTAAAGCAAAGAACATTCTGAAGCGCTATCAATAGCAGAACACTCTGAAGCGTTACTAAGCATTCAAGACATATTTATTACCAACGGCTTTATCCAAGACAAGATCTTCTCAAAAAGGAAAGAACGTTATTAACATTGAAATGATTTATGGACAACCAACGTATCTCTTCCTAGGCTTTATAAATAAGTCTGTGTGAGAAAAGAAATGGCTAATAATCTTCACGCATACACGCCTACGTAAACGAATTCTCTCATTCAAATTGCTAAAGATTTCAACCACGCCTACTCAAAAGCATTAGCAATCTAGTCTTTATTCTAAGCTTAATATTGTGTATTATCACAGTTGTGATATATAGTTTTGTTAGCAAACATTAACACACTTTTTGTTCAATTATCTGTAAGAGAATTTCCTTGAGATAAACCGGTCTGTGGTTAGACTCAAGAAGGCTTTAACAGTTGTTAAAGTAGTTGTTGTATTCAGTTGAATATAGTGGATTAAGACCTCGTTGGAGAGAGGAGAAATCACCTTGATGGGTGGACTGGAGTAGTTTGAGATCAAACGAACCAAGATAAAAATACAGTGTTGTCTGCATTTGATTTAAAGTTTTACAATTCAACCCCCCTTCTTGTGTTTTTCACATCTTCAATTGGCATCAGAGCGCCTGGTTATGAGCTTATAACACTTAACCGTGTCAGTACAAGATCCAGCGTCAGAAAAACACAATGGCAGGACCACATCAAAACATCAACAATGATGACAATGAAGAAAGAGACAGATTCAGTGGCAAACCTCCAATCTTTGATGGAGAGAACTTTGACTACTGGAAAGACAGAATTGAAAGTTTCTTTCTGGCCCATGATGCTGATCTGTGGGACATGGTGACTGATGGATACACGCACCCAGTGGATGGAAGTGGTCAGAAGATTGACAGGAAAGTAATGTCTGATCAACAAAAGCGTGATTTCAGAAATCATCACAAGGCCAGAACAATTCTTCTCAGCGCCATCTCTTATTCTGAATATGAAAAGATATCAAACAGAGACACTGCAAAGAATATGTTTGACTCTCTGAGAATGACGCATGAAGGCAACATTCAAGTCAAAGAAACCAAAGCTCTTGCGCTTATTCAGAAGTACGAGGCATTCAAGATGGAAGAAAGTGAATCAATAGAAACGATGTTCTCAAGATTTCAAATTCTGGTTGCTGGTCTCAAAGTTCTGGACAAAGGGTATTCTACTGCTGATCATGTTAAGAAGATCATCAGAAGCTTGCCAAAATAGTGAAGGCCAATGGTCACAGCGCTTAAGCTAGCCAAGGATCTCAACAAAATCTCTCTGGAGGAACTTGTCAGCTCCCTCAGAAGTCACGAGATAGAGCTAGAAGCAGATGAACCTCAAAAGCAAGGTAAACCATTAGCTTTAAAATCTAACAGAAAATCTGACTCCAAGGTTTTGCAGGCTGTAGAAGAAACCTCTGATGGGTCTTCATCAGAAGAAGATGAACTATCTCTCCTCTCCAGAAGGGTGAACCAATTATGGAAGCAGAGGCAAAGGAAGTTCAGGAATCCCAGAAGATCAGAGAATCAAAATGAATCCTTCTCCAGATACAG